TCATATAGCATCAATGTATTATAATGTGTGAAAAAAAGACAAATTATGTAAGATGTAAGTCAGTGGTTCCCAACCTACTATTTTCCTCAAAGACCCCCCTTCTAAGAATGAGCCCCCCCCCCCCCGCTACTCCCCTCTCCCAAAAGACTCAATCAGATAAATCTCTTTATCAAAGTGATAAAAGAATAAAGTAAATATTATAAGTAATATTATAAGTAAAAGTAGAAAAATATAGAATAAAGTAAATAATAAAAGAATAAAGTAAATAGTTACAAACTTTTATTTCTAAAAGGTATAAACTGGTAGTTGCACCGCAGAAATAAAAACTACAAGAACACTGTTTTGAGAATTACTCAAATAACTATTCTTTAAAAACTAACAACAGAGTAATCTTAAAAGCAGCCTTAAAAAATTAAAATTGTAGTTTAGTCAAGATATCTTCCTGATCATATGCAGCTGATTTTTGCCATTTTCAGGCAGGCGGGTTTCAGACGTTCTCTAATATTGTGCAGATTTTTAGCCTTAGTGATTAAAAGGGAACACTCAAAAGATGCTTCTGTATCTCTGTGCAAATCACTACCTGCTCTTTCAAAAGCTTTTCTCATGTCAGTGGACCTTTTGACAACTACTTGTGAAAGTATTCTCAACTTTCACCAATAGTAATAATAACAGTGTCTGTTCTAAACTAGTGAAAATGTTCTTATGTTGTCAGAAAAATGACTCCTCTGTGTGTTTTTACACATGTAAACATCCACAACTGCATGTGCTTATGTTTATGTTATCCTGATGCATGCTCAATAATCCAGGTAGAAAAATGTTTATGTTATGTATTTAATAAAACGTGAGCTTAACCACGACCTCTTCCTAGGTCTTCTTCTCAACTGAGCGCTAGTGATGTGTGGATCAATATTAAAATATTGATACTATCGATACCAGAGCGCCGTGCTCTAGAATCGATTCTTAACTCCAACTATTGATAGTTTTGATATTTCAGTCATTTCAGGTAATCCATGTCATTAACAGGAAGGTAGTGGAAAGTAAACTCTTGAGATCTTGTCTAAATGATACGCGGTTGGTGGGAACTACTTTTTCTTTCGCCAGTGGTACGTAATGCATGTAAGCGGAGCAGCACGCTGCTCGTCGTGGTTAGTCAGACTGTAAACATAAACAATGGCGGAGCGTACACAAAGTCACGTGTGGAGTTAGTTCAGCTCCAAAAACAACCAAGAACCTGTTTGTGAAGTTTGTGGAAAAACTAAAAGCTGTGGCATATGGTTATGAAATAAGTAAAGTAACAAATTAATGCTCAAACAAATAGTTTGCGTGAGTTCAGTTTGGAGTAATAATATGTTTATCACACGGGCAAAAAATAATTTATTCAGGTAAGGTTTCCTAAATAATTGATCATTTAAAGTGGATTGCATGGACCAGGTGTCATGAAATTATACAGAGCAATGGTGACAAAACAGCCTTGCTTGGTGAACTCTGAAAAATATATACAGTAGTAAGTAAGTAAGATTAAGCATACAGTGCATAGTAGCCAATAATA